AGTAGCTAAGGAAAACCACAGGCTAGCAAGAGCAATTGTCTTTTTCTATTTATTACAAAGCTTTCCTGAGGCAGCACTTCTCAAAGCATTTATTATAACATCAAATCTAGTACAAGCCTCTCTGCAATAAGCACAGAGCTTCCAAGTACAAAATGACAAAGGCTTTTGTACAATTTTGATGTGGCTAAAAGTTAATTTTTTTCTAGATTTAGAGAAACATTTCCTTCAGCAAGACTTTGATAATTCCTAACAACCCATTCTTTCTCAGATTTCACTTGGTGATAATATTTTTTATTCCTGATATGGTTTCTGTGATACACCCACCTACTTAGTAGTCACTCCATCCATATGTGTAAACACACCAACACATAATATCTTAGCTATTTTAATACACAATTGCCTCTTTTTTAAAAAAAAATCATTGTAAGAGTTTATTTGAGCCAAAATGAGGATATATATGCCTGGGAACAAGATCCCAAATGCTCCTTGCTTCTTTCTTAAGCATCCCTTCTATTTGAAAATAAACAATCTTTTTAACTTGTAATGTTAACACCATTATGAAGAACATTTTTAAAGAAAATATTTTAAAATGAAATAGTAAGAAAACTTACTGTATTACATACTTAAAAATTGCTAAGAGACTAGACTTTAAGTGTGCTCACCACAAAAAGAAAATGATAATTATGTTACAGATGGAGATGCTAGCTAATGCTAGAGTGGTAATCATATTGCAATATATAAATCTGTCAAGTCAATACATTATACACCTTAAACATGCACAATGTTAAATATCAATTATATATCAATAATGAAAACACTTACTTAGTCAGTTTTCTCTTCTTTAAACCATTTTTACTCCTGAGAATTAAAAAAAAGACAAATTTATCTGGGCAAAAGAATTGATTAACATAATGATTAAACTTGAAGAATTTTAAATAATTACATCAAGCACCTCAATTTTATTTAATTTTCACTAAACATATCTCAGATTTGTTTAATTACTTTTCCTTAAATGAGAACATAATGATAATAATTCCAGAGTCATAAAAAAACTCTATTAGATTACAGGAACATACCTATACTTTATATTTAATATTTTCCAGAAATAGAAATCTGGAAATATATAATTTCTTGCTACTGGTG